ATCTTCTACTCTTACTGGCCATTTTTCACAGCCAAAAAGAAAAACGGAGCGAACTGCTGCACAGTACACTCGTCCTTTTGTCAGCAAACGGATATCTCGCCTACGCCATAAGTGACGCAGGTTGGCAAAAGCCAATCGAGCCTTCTGTATCCGAGCTGAGATTTCGTCAGTCACCAGGCCATCGGCACTGATGAGACTCCCAAGGCAAGTGAAGCGGTCTACTCGCTCGACTACTTCACTCCCTATCACTAGTTCAGGTGCCGATGAAACCCAATTTTGAAGCAACATTTTGCATTTCGAGGGTGAGAAGTGCATCCCGAACATGCTTGCATTGTTGCTTAGGGTAGTCAGAAGACTCTGCATTTTGTCAGCATCTTCACCAAGTAAGACTATGTCATCGGCATATTCTAAGTCAATAAGCGAGCCACCTGGTAGAAAGTCTACTCCTGAAAATTCAGACGAGGATAAGGTTATATCTAGCAGCATGTCTATGATAAAATTAAAACAAGAATGGAGAAAACACCACTTGAAGTAGAGAATTCCGGTGACAGTTCGCCATAAGCCCTCACTCGACCAGTGGTGTTCGAGTAAAGGGCTTGTATAAGGTTAATGTACTTATTTGGTACACCCTTCAATGACAGACACTGCCACAGAACCTCGCGATCCACTGAGTCGGATACCGCCTTAAGGTCCAGGAATACAACTAATGTAGGACGCCTAAATGTGTGTCTGTGTTCCAAGACCTGTCGCAGTGTGAAGATGTGGTCTATACAACCACGTCATGGTCTGAAACCAGACTGGTTTTCTCGAGTCTGCTCTTCACGAGCTCTAGTTAGATGCCTGAGTATAATCGAGGCTAACAATTTAGAAACTATATTAGTTAGACTTATTCCCCTGTGATTGTAACAAGAGGACTTTTGTCCTTTCTCATAGATTGGGATAATCAAGGATTGAGACCAGTCAGATGGGGTTGTGTACAGTTCTCAGATTCTACCTAAGATCTCGGTCAGTCTAAGTGTTAAAACTGGACCACCATCCTTAAACATCTCAGGGGTAAGCCTATCAGGACCTGCAGCTCGACCTCAATTCAGATTTCCTATACCTTTCTCAACCTCATAAAGACTAGGGGGACTTACGTCGATTTGCCATTCAGGATGACTGGAGATCGTGGGTAACCGGAAGAGTGGCTCGAGGCCAGTTGAACTGATCCACAAAGTGTTCTGCCCATCGGTCCAGTCTCCTGGATTGAGAATGGATAATAAGACCATCCTTTTCCGAAATAGTCTTACTCACATTTGGGTTCGTAATACCAGTTTTTTGTTGATGAGTCTAAATAGTTGCCTACTGTTGCCCATCGTCGCTGCCTTTTCCATCTCTCTCGCTTTCTCCACCCACCACTGTTCTCGATCATTGCGTAGGCTTTTTGTCAGCCTACGTCTAAGCTGACTACGCTCTTCATCATGCTCAGAGTCAGGTGGGATGCGTTTTCAAGCATCCATCAGTTCGGTAGATGCTATTGAGATCCACGGCTTCATCCTAGGTTTATGGTCAACCTTACTAGCAGATATCACTGCTGTTTCCACAGCCTTTTTGATATCATACCAACCTGCTTCCGGATGGGAATCGCTTACCGCATGGTCGTCTAACTCTCTTTCTAGTTGCTAGCCTTATTATCATTAAGTAAAACCCTAAGAGGCTTCGTTCCGGTGTCTTTACTACGTCCAGTAAGCCTCAAACAGATATGCGCTCGCACTAGGGCATGATCTGAATCGAAACATGTGCCCCAGAACGAACGTCAACAAGGTAGTCTATACTTACTAACATAGCTTAGTCCAGTTGCCGCCCCTAGCTTTCTTCCAGCCTACTCCTATACCAGGGGCATCATCAATCGTCAAGGCAGTCAGTCAGTGGTTGGTCATCTGTAATACATATCCAAACCACTTCAACTGATGATATTTCACTACTTCATATATTAATTTGCCATCCTTAACTAATTCCCTCTTCCTTACCACAGAACTAGATGCTTTCGAAATATACGAGCAATGCTTCAAAGACACCTATGATCGGATACCAATAACCTACTAATAGCCTCCTCTTCTCTAACGAACATTATCAATAATGAAATATAATTTCAACGATCACACCAAGCACTAAATAAATATTGATATATAGATTCAGAGTAACTTCTTTTAAAGACTTAGTGCACAATGGATAAACAACCACAGACTATTTTTCAGTCAGTCAGTTGCAACGTAGAACTTCGCAAGTATGTACATAAGTTCATGTTGCTATACCACATGAGCACAGAGACGCTAATGTCAAATCAAATCCCATAGTGATAAAGATAGTAGAGGTACCAATGGTAATGAAGAAGACTAGGGTTTGAAGATATTATTCAAGAAGTATAATTCAGTGAGTTAAGGTTAGAAAGACAAAGGTAGAGGTGCTGACGAATCCAGAAGATAAGGATTTGAGAGAGCTCAAAGAATGTATGCACCTGCACCATTGCAAACGATTCTGAGCCATGTCGTTCAAGGAATTTCGTCTCGTGGACCCCAACCAGGTAGCCTACATCTACCAACATGACTTAGTCCACTTGTCAGTGACTTCATGGATTTCTGCCATGTGTTGGTTTGGCCGCCCCTACCCTTCTGCCAACCTACTACTACACCACAAAACATAGCTCGTCAAGGCAGTCGGTGGTTAGGCATACGTAACACATGTCCCAACCACTTTAACTGATGACATCTCACTATTGATCTGCCATCCTTACCTAGTACTCGTTTCCTAACGACAGAAATGCTTACTCGGTTGTCCCACAATATACACGAGCAATGCTTCGGAGACATCTATGATCGAAAACCAGTAACCTACGAACATCTACTCTTCACGGCCATGTTTCACAGCCACATAGGAGAACGGAGCGAACTGCTGCACAGTACACCAGTCCTTTGGTTAGAGAACGGATATCACGCCTACGCCATAAGTGACACAGGTTGGCAAAAGCCAGTTGAGCTTTCTGTATCATTTCTAAAAGATTAATAACGAAATATTATGAGTCAACCAACTGATAGCCATGTTCAGGTACTTGACAGAACCTAAACACTGAACTAAAACAGAAGGATTTTCTTAAACAGTATATGATATTTTGATTTTTAACTGTCAGGATCCAGTAGAATATGAAATTTAAATACACACAAACTGACTCAAAGAATGGAAATTAGGAGTTAGAAGATGAAAAAAAAGAACTATTTAAAATGCATTTGTGAAACTTCGGAAACTCCATGACGTCTACAATCCAATGAGAAAATGAGTAAGACTCTGAGAAGCTACTAAGATAAAATCGTAGAGACATTATCTGAGGGTGAATTAAGCAACCTACTTAGACTTTCGATAACTTTGCTTGAAAATTCTGCTCCAACGAAACTGAAAGAAGTACTGACAGCCATACTGAATAACTTTTGTGCAGTTTTGTTCTCTAAAGTGGATGGTTTAGTTTTGAACACCGAGCTCGAAAGGACAAGCTGCTTATCAATACTTTCACTTGATGTTTGTGCTGATGGTGTTGTCCAGAAGTACAAGGAAAGCTTTGAATCTCAGCCATCCATATCAGAAAACGACTCTCCATCAACAACGAATGGAGGAAGTACTACAAGACGTTGAAATACATGTCAAAGTAAAAAAGATACCCACAGGACTGAACGGTGACCATGTTAAAAAAAATGAGAAGCTTCTTTTATATACCTTAATCTCAAAGGTAATAAAATCACTGACATAATCAGACTCAGCATATGCGTTACGAAAGTTAACTTATCATACACAGAGCTGTTCTTTTGACTCAAAACAACTGCTCATTCCTTGGTATCCCTCTCCTTCCGACCGTATGCACCAGTTTAGACGTATGTGCCGAAGAATGTGCATCACGACGGACAAGAGTTAACATCATTGTTTATCAGTCAAAAGTCTTATAGTATACGATAAGACAGTAACACAACATTTAAACGGTGTTGGCTATATAATCCACTATCTTGAGCCCTTCAAAAAATTCACCGTAGTTACTCTGTCTTAGTGGTAAACTGGAATGCATTTTATGATGGTCGGATGGAAATATACTGGTTGGGACACCTGGAGTTCAAGTTTTAAGAGGACATCTTATTGCCAACTATACTGGAAGGTGATGGCAGTGAAGTACTCTCGTCCCGCACATCAGAATAACCAGTATTGGTCTCATGTTAGGAAGGAATCCGGAGTTGACTTCAGTAAGTAAAAAGGCTCTACGGATTTCTGGAATCGGCCGTTGGTCCTAAAACTAAGTGACTACGAAACGTTCAAGCTCCTTGCGTTATGGAGGTACAATTTACTTCAACCAGTTATTTCTTGAGCTCTCCGCTCCAGCGCATCTAGAGTGTTACCGACTTAGACTCCCCTAATGTAACTCTAAACGATTTCCCTTCGAGAAGTCGGCAAACGAACACCTAGGATCATCATCATAATTGAATTCGTAGCGGGAGGACGCCCAGAACAATGTCATCACATAAGGGGCAGGATACTACGTCAGTCACGCACATACAGCAACTCCAGTCTTTGGATCGAATCAATCATACGAAACCCGACAACCACGTGCGGCCCCCCGGTGAAATCTTGTATGGAGATCTCAAGATTAACCTGCTTATTTTTATCTCAAAAGTTGACGACCGCAAACAACCGACCACTCGCGTACAAAGCACAACCCCTACGGCGATGTGGAAAGGACCAACTCGAAGTGCAGTATGTCAGTTTATTGCTATCCAGTATAAGGTACCACGGACGTCATAAATCACACTTAACACACCAGCTCCTCCTCGGTGGGGAAGATGTAGCATTGATTCGGGTGAAGCTCTCAAGCTTTCTTTAAGCGAAGTTCAGTAATCCTATACAGTCCACAACCCTAGAAAAAAAATGCAACGCGCGATACGCTTAGTGGGTAAATTATTGATTATGTCGCTAAATTAAGAAGGCTCTTTGCTCAGCAATAATTTATATCTCACTAAACGTTGTGCATACAAGCGATCTTTACAGTGTTTGGGCAGAATCATCTACAGTAGTTTAGGATTCACTGTCAACACCCTGCAGTCGAATAGAAGAAACAGGAAGAGGTGCCAAGACTCAAGATTACACCTGCATAATTTTGGAGATCAGTTTGATGAAGCACTACTTGAGAGACCTTGAAATATTAGAGTCCGAAATGAAAGGCATCGGGTAGTTTACAGAATGTCAAAATTCATCTTCGAATCAACTTGTCACACAACAGCAGGACCATAAGACACCAAACTAATGAGCTTGTGTAGCTCCTACTCCGCTACCAGCGGCCATTGCTGCCATTAGTGCGTGGTATGTGTGATTGTTAGGAAGATGCTGACCGCCTAAATGTTGAGCAGCGGAAAGTTGATGTGCTTGCAACAGTTGAGCTTGAGCGATTGCTGGGTAATGTTGTAACAATTGTTGTGGTTGACAATTTGGTTGGGACATCATATGAGTTTGCTGTAACTGCTGAGATGTGATTAAAGCAGAGTCGGATTGGTTTGACTGATTTGATACGCTCGCACCTAGTGAATGGGGATTGGGTTGGCCAACAATGGGCGATAAACCAGAAGCAATGTGATTAACTCCCGGTGTCGCAATCATCGCAGATGCTCCTGGGTAAAACCCAGGAGAACCCTGCTGAGGAGCAAACATTAAATTGTGTTGGTACGGAGCTGGCAGATTTGCATATGAAGGAATTTGGATAGGATGGGAATGATCTTGAAAATGCTGGGAGAAGATGTGCTGAGATTGGGAGGTTTGCTGAAGTGTACTTGTCGGAGTAATCTGATCAGGCTGTCCGACAGGGACTTGTAGGTGTGCAGGTTGCATCTGCATAATGGTATGAGTCGGGCATATTTGTTGACTAGGTTGAGATACATGGACACTACCCATCATCAAACCGGAACTAACAGCAGCTGGCAGACCAGGAAGAAACTGTAGCCCAACTGGGGGATGACTGGAAACTAAAAATGGGAACGTACCATTTGGTTGAGGTAGCTGGTATACTGCTTGTGACTGAAAAGTGGGAATGGACATAGTAGGCTGTTGAATAGCATACGATGTACAGTGCGCTACCGAAGATGGGGAGTCATTGGAACGTTGGCGAGTGAAGTTGACGGATGATGAAGGGCAAGCTGAAAGGCGACTTGAGGAGTTATGACCAGTATTCACCTGAGGAGCCGTAATAATCTGCCCTAGTGTAGCATTCTGACCCAGCTGATGCATCATATTATTACTATGAGCGATGTAGTTTTGCTGATTGACGGACGGAGGTAAAGTACTACCCCGGACGTTATGAGGGGTTGTTCCAGGTCCATTGGAACATACAGGAGTAGGTAGAAGTTGTTGGATATGAGTATGGTGGCCATAGGAAAAAGGGGCATACATATGCTGATTCGCAGCTATAAGCGTAGCTTGCGCGGGGACTTGAGAAGATTGAGAGATAACATTAACAGTTGATACATAGTGTGGAATTTGCATATTCAATGTAGGTAAATTAGATTGCAGAGTGTGAGGCAGGCTAACAGCAGAATGTGAAGTATAGGATAAACACATCGGTTGAAATTCCGGGGCATTGGGATCTAGTGTCGATTTTTTTACACGTTCTTCAGTACTGATTGGTTTGCTAGCAGATGATACAGGTGCGTCTACGACGTTGGTCTTTAAAAGTGATGCTGATGTGCACACACAAGCAGATGTTGACACTTTAATTGGCTGATCAGGGCATTGTTTAACCTTATCCTTATCAGTTTGATTGTTAGTTCTAGATATTCCATTAACTTGTGGACCAACGTCCGATTTTAATGCATCTCCAACAGATATACTTACACGGACAGCTTCAGTATGACTGGGCTTACTCGACTGAATACAGACTTGCGAAAGTTGATCGCCAAGGCAATTGACTGCAGTTTCTGTTTGGGGAGTTAGACTTGGCCGGGAATTGTTTTTAGCGTTTCGTGTTGAATTAGGGACTGTGTCAACGCGCTTAACAGCACTAAATTGTTCCTCTTCGTTGTCCATTCCAATATCTTCATTATCCATAAGACCAATCCCTGAAGAGTTTTCTGTGATATCTTGTGCCAACTTTGCACACCGCGCCTCGGTTTCTGAGAAATTTGGAGCGGACCGGTCAACAGGTGTCCTGGAAAGTATGATAGAACATAAATCTAACTTACGTATACTCTCGGAGATCGGCATTGTATGTGGAAAAAACTGAAAACATTTTTTCATTCGTTTCAAACATTTCCATTGCAGTGAAACTTCCCTGATCGAGTAGACAATCTTTAACATTATCAGACGAGGCGAAATATGGCACCAGTTCTTTGTCTGATACATGGTTGTTAACAGAACAGTCTTTTGCAATCTCGCTGTCAGTTTTTATATCATCTGGAAGAGTTAGTAAGTAGGTAGGTATTATGCTTACCGATTAAGCAGTCTGATTTCCAAACATTGGGTATCTGAACCATTTTAATTTCTGTCCAGTGAACAATTTTGTTAGGCACGTTTTTGCGGCTACTTTTGTCATTTTTCTGAGCAATTTGAGCACATGTTATACCAAGATCAGCCTTGCAATATATTAAAATTGGCACTTACAGAAGGAGAGACAGCTTTTATTACTCCGAGAACACGATCGTCTTCAGTAGTTGTGATCTCTCCCACGTTACCCTACACATGAATAAGAAAAAACTGTACTTACAATAACATGACGTCCAAGAATATACGTGAGCCTAATATTGGCGTAAATGCCCAAGTTGTCATCTGAAGAATTCTAAATTGATTAAGAACCTGTAGAATACAATGGTACCTGTACATGCGCCACACGAGAAGAGTTAATTGGTGGTATTGACATACGCTGATTGCGAGCTCTAAAACAATTCGTTGTCAAAGAGTAATAACTTACCGCAAAGACTTTGCCTTCCCACGTTGTGACTGGCCTGACATCATTAATTGCTGATTTAAATATGAATATTAGCACGTTTATATGGGCAATAAGTAATTTATTGAAAGAAAAGACGTCTGTTGTTGGTACAGTGGCAGATATTAAAAACCTGATTCCAAAAGCAAGGATCTTCACCGTCGAATTTTTACCGCTCAAAAGGGACTTAAACAATTGATACCAAAGTCCAATTAATTTTACTTATTACTAGAGCAGGAAAACCTTGATAATCTACTTTTAGATGGCTTTTTAACTCACCTAATGTTATGTTCCCATTTGGAATGTATCGGAATATTTCTTGTCTACTATACATTCTAAACTCATGAATATTGGAATTTAAATTTCAGCATTTTATTTTGAAGACAGAAAGTAAACAGCTTCTGCTAGTTCTTATTCCGCATTATTTCGTAAGGGATTGAAATTCTCTTGAAAAAAAGTGATTGAAAATGTAAGTACCACTTCTTTTGATGGTCATTTACAAGCTTAGTGTATTTTGTGTAAAAATCAGTGTACTAAAGGTATTTCACTTCTTCATAGCTATTAAACTCACTCAAACCTGAGTTGCCTAAGTCGACCAATCATATTTGACAGTGAGCTCACAAAATGTGACAACCAATGCTGTCTAGGGTTCACCTATTCTGTTGTCACATTGGCGGTCAATAAACCTCCAAAATAAGTAGTTATGTAAGACTTTGACGTTGGTGAGTTTCACTGGATGCATCCAAGCTGAAAGGGCCTGATCATGCATAAATAATAGATCACCAATATATACACTGTACACATATACCTTAACTCCACCTAGAGCCAATCTGAGGTTACTGCTGGTCCAATGCCCGGATAAAGGAGGGTTGGGGATGGGTCAGCGAACACTTTAGGGAACTCTTGAATCGGTAAGTCGCACCCTCGGATCTCCCAATCAGTTTTACCCTACGAACGATTGACGAGATCAGCATGTCCATTTAAGAGTGACAAAGTAGGGGGAGACGGCATCCCAGTAAGGGGATTAAAAACAGATGCAACAGTAAAGGCAAAGATGAATAACGAGTACTAACAGACTGGAAAGAAGGACACTTGATTAAGACACGAACGAAAAGCGATCTGAGCATGTATAAGAACTATACAGGTATCACTCTTCTCACAATACAAGAAAATGTCTTCAACAGGGTGTTTTTAAACAGAATGAAGGATAACTTATGTTCCCAACTTCAACATCAGAAGGATAATAATAATAATATATATTTATTCTCAAATAACCACATTACAAGAGTCACGCCAGTTTACAGGCTAGATCAAATTGTCACAAATGCTTTCACAGTTACTGTAAAGTTATAGCAGTTAAATTAAGTAAAGAGTCAGTTTCTGATTGCATATTTACACCATGTCACTGACAGAAACAGTATTATACAGCCACATTTTCAACAGTAGAGTACAAATAAGGAAGGAAGATGCACAATAGGTTCTTTTGGCAGTTTGCCGAGATCAATAGTGAATTTGTTGGGAAATGTCATATGGAACGCGCTTGATACGAGCTGTGATCCAGACAGTCATGTACATATGGTGCATGTTCCCTCGAGTCGCCAAGGATTTTCCACCGTGAATGGGGTTCTGAAAAGGAGAAGAGAGAGAGAGAAGAAGAAAAGTTTGATGAATAAAATCTCGCACTGTCTAACTGTTTTTTTAATTATTATTATTGAATACCAACCTCTAAGTCATACTGTAAGCGCCTGAGTAAGAATGTTGCGGGTGTCTCGACAGAATAGCGACCTCAGCATAGTTTTGGAAACATGAACCACAGAAGTACCAAGCGTATAAGAGCAACCTCAATGTTACTGATTAGTCGTCTCATCAATCTGAAGAGCCAAAAGCAAACAAAATGTTCTGCCCCACAAACATGGGTTGTTTGAAGTTATCGCCCACACCATCAATGTTTGCTGGTCTGTTAGGATTGGTCAAGTTCCGAACACACTGCAACACTATGGATCATGATGGGATAATCAAGTGGGGTGGAATTCACCACTTTGTATCAGCTTCGTTAACTACGAGAAAGGATTTGATAGTTTGGACAGGAAAACACTAATGAACACAAATGAAAGCGAAAAATATATTACTATATTTGACTTAACAAATAGTTTAACAAAAAAATCTCATCTGGATTCTAAAAAATGTTCAGCATAGTCACAAGGTTAGACATGCATTGCCAGAAATAAGATCTATGCATACTACTTTTCATCACACAAAGGGAAATGCAAGATTCTCCGATGCAAAACAACATGCACCAACCAAAACACACTTGACGGTGAATCTTTGGAAGATGTAGAAACCTTTACATATCTCGGTAGTATCATTGATTAGCATGGTGGATTGATGCAAGTCTGAAGGCGCGGATCGACAACCCTACGGCTGAAAAACATCTGGAATTCAAAACTTCTATCTGTCGACCGATATCAAAGTAAAGACAGTGATACTTTATGAAGAGGAAACTTAGAGGACTGCCAAAGCCATCATCCAGAAGATTATATGAAAATAAATATTATTATTATTAGCATACAGGTGTTCATTAATAGTTTTTACGCAAAGATTTTTGGATTCCTCAGCCAGACACCATCAGCAACAACCTACTGTGGAAGAGAAACAACTAGATTCCAGCTAAGGAGGAAATTAGTAAGTGTTCTGGAGGCCGATGGGACATACCTTGTGGATAGCACCCAAGTACGTCACAAGACAAGCCCTGACCTGGAATCCTCAGTGCTAGAGGAAAATAAGAATGCCAAGGGACGCATTACACCGTATTTGGAGGAGATACTATAAGAGTGAACTGCAGTTTGGTAGAACTGCCAAAGTAGTCCCAGGATAGTGTAATTTGGATTGTGGTGGTCATCGGCCTATGCATTATTGGGGTCACAGACATGGTCAAAGAAGCAACATATCCCTCGCTACAACTAAACAGATCAGATAACACACCTCGCCACACAGCAGAATTTTCACTGAATAAATCTTCTACATCCCTTAGGATTTTAGGACTCATGGTATATGGGTAGTCAGATCATGGGAACAAATGCTTCTGACACCATTCTGGGTCGACCTAGTAATTATGGTGGGCTTTCATTCTGTAAGCAGGCTTCTTTGGTTGAGGAGCTTAAATTGTTCTTTTGAACGATGTCATCAGCTGAAACTTCAAGTGGAAACGGACGAATTTTCTCCACAATCTTAGGTCGAGTGATTCACGAAAAACCTTAAGTGTGTGCCACACAACCTCTCTCGCTGTCACAGAAATGTGGCTGGACGTAGATGTAGACCATTATCATTGAAGGATTGATCAGCATTAAAGGTGATAGTGTATGGATTGCAAGGAAAAAGACCTAATTCTTATGTTGAAGATCGCATTTGCGTGCCTTCAATTAAATGGCTTGCATGTGACAACGGTACAAACGAGATGGCTCATTGTATAATGAATTCTAGATATGAGTGATGCTGATCATTTTGATCTCCAATTTGAAATAGGCCAACTACTTAGATGGCTTGTACAGATAGAGAAACAAGGCTTCGTGGCTCTGGAAGCCCTTGGGCTGCTGCCCGGTGTCTCGCTCGTGTAGGCATAGCATTGAGTCCTAGGGAAGAACTAGCTCTCTTAGACTGGATCCCAGTAGACAGTCGCTTGTGCGCTGTCCGACTAAACGGGACAGTTATGACTTGTAAAGATAGTGACACTCGCCGTTGCCTCTTCGTCATGCTCCCACTGACTGCAGTTCGGATGAGGTGAAAGATGAGTTTTACTGAAAGCTTTCTGAACTCTTCCAAAAAGTTGGGCACTTTGATATAGTAATAATAATAATGACATTCTCATATAACAACATGTTACAAGAAGCATGCCAGTTTACAGACAAGATCGAATTGTTAAGACTGCTAACATATTTTTTGTAAAACGTTGTTCTGTTACTGAAGTATTTAAAAAGATAAATTGGCCTCATATAGATGGCTAAAACGTTTCACATAAAATTATAGATAATTTTCCAGACTCTGCTATGTACAACGCTAATTACAACGGTTGCGTTACGACGAACTACCAATGACTGCGAAAGGATGCGAGGTAGAGCCAGGTCTGCATATAACAAGAATTATTGAGGTAAATGTTCTAAGATGTGGTTGATATTCCTCATATAATAAATTTGCAGGTTCCTGGGTAAATTAACCAAGTATTCGGCAAATTTCCAGACTAATATTTAAGGATTGGAATAAGGTGCTGAAATAGGGCAGTAAAGAGAACGGGGCGAGGAGCAGAACAGAAAATATTCTTGTTTCAAGCCTAACAGTGACTCAGCAGATACTTTTTAAAATTAGAACTTTAACTGTTCACGTGCACTTATGTAAGTTAATGAAGAAAAGTCACTAGGAAGATTACGAATGTGCAGTTAATTGTATGAATAGAACAAATTCAGAAGAACCAAATTGTTAGCAGACAATTTTCAGCTCTTTAGCTCAAGAAGTTATGAGTGAGCTCTTTTTCAATATAATTGTCCATAGTAATGGTGGTTGGTGACTTATTTACTCAACTAGGCGGACTCAACGAAAAGGAAGGGCACCTGAGTGGATCTTATGGTGTTGCGGCTAATAGAAAAGATAATGGCGACCGTCTGCTGCGGCTGTGCTCAGATAACCGCCTGTTCTTAGCAAACACTAACTTTAAGCAGAAAGAAAAACACCTTCCAACCTGGCGACACTCAAAGGCGACTCAACGATGGACCCAAGTAAATCACATCACTATAAGTCATCGATGGAGAAGCTGTATTGAAGACTGCCGCTCATTATGGAGCACTTGTTTATACTTAGACCTTGCTCTAGTGCGAGCACGTAATTGTTTGCGTATTACCGGACGCAAGGAAACCTCTGAGGGCTCTACCTAACGATAATAAAGCTAAGAATATATTCCAGGAACAACTAGAAAAACAGTTAGGCGGCCAGGTATTAAGTGATGCTCGCCCTGAGGCAGCTTGTAATGATGATAAAATTGTCAGTGGAAACAGCAGTGATATCTTCTAATAAGGTAGACCATAAGGTTAGGGAGAAACCGTGGATTTCAGTAGCATCTACCGGACTGATAGACGCTTGGAAACTCATCCCACCTGGCTCTGAACATGATGGAGAGCCAAGTCAGTTTGGGCGCAGGCT